AATATAACTGAGGTCAATTAAGACTGCATTTGAGTGGAGTTTAATCCAATTAATACTTACACCTTTGAGTGTAATTGTTTGAAAATCTTGGCAGCTGTCCATCATACTGGTATTGTATCAATAATCTCATTTGCCTAATGCAAGAATGGGAAATAATAGCATTTCAAACAAGAGGCTGTCGAGTGACAGCAAACTGGATTTTCCTGCAGAGGTCGAACCCAGAACAGTTGAGCAAGTATGGACACAACTTTTAATTTAAACAGCTTGTATATGGATTGTGATTGAATATTTGGCACAGCATAGGTTTGTGACACAAAATGACTGTAGTCAAATAACTGAAAAATTTAAATTGGACATTTACCTATTATGGCGCTGGCATAAATATACCAAAGAAAAGAAGAAAAAAATCTAAAATGTTATCTATCATTAATACAATATCTCTTAAAAATCTTATAAAACTTATCTGTAATTATCTTCAAAATGTCTAATAATGAACAGCAAATTTCAAACTTCATTTATACAGTCCTACAGATCTTATCAGGAAACAGAAAATTTTCAGATAAATCTGTCACTCCAATTATAATCATATGATAAGATATTTCCCAGATCTTATTAATAATGAAAATGATATTTGCAAATCTGAAGGGTTATTTCCCTTTGAACAGAAATATGGTTTAACATAGTACTCTAACTGTCTAACATTAGATATGATTAATAGTTCTCTAAAATTAGATATGATGTAACACAATGTATATCTATTTTCAAATTATAGTCAAATATAATTAATAGTTCCAAATATTTTTTCTTTTATTTGTCACAAACTAACACAGATCTGCAACTTATCTATCAATGTAACAACTTCTAAAAATGTAATGAAATATATCCTATAATAAAAATAGATTATTATCTAATTAAAGGAGTTCACTTCATAATAAAAAAATTATATATATAGCATTCAGAAAATTAGTTTATACAGAATAACAAACGAAACCCTACCACAAAATTCTTCAAACAATTTACCAAAGAAAAGAAAAAAAAATCCAAAATGTCATTTATCATTAATACAATGTCTTTTAAAAATCTTTTAAATAAAAGATGAGTTATTCCCCTTTGTACAGAAATGGATTAATTCCTCAAAAGTTGAATTCTTGGGAAAGGGCTATAACTGAACAACGAGAAAAGCTAAAATCGTGAAAATTGAACCTGACCTTCATTTAGTCACAGGAAACAACATATCTAAATTTGAAAAAATTTCTTCAAAGCGTTTTCATGTAAATGAATGGCCACTGTTTTTGGCAGCCGCCCGCCCGCCCGCCGTACATCCCCAAATCAATAACCGATTTTTAAAAAGTGTGGGAATCAACTCTGATATCAATACACATATTGAACCAAATTTTATTCAATGGCATACAGGAACATAAGATACTGATAAGACACTTTCATTATTCCTATCAACTGCTTAAATTTGATAAATTACATTTTCCACATTCATTTATAAATGTTAATTTAATATAAATTTTGATTAACAAAGGAACTATATGCAAGTGTATATCTAAAATAAATAAATTGTCAGCCCAAAGTATTTCTTAATTTAAGGACAAATAACATATTAAAAGTTGGCAGTTGATGATTAAAATGATGTATAAATTTCTGCAAGTCATAGAAACACACAATTATTTTCATGACATGTCTTTACTCAACTTCGAATTTTGCACCATCTCCAAATCCTGAGTGATCACATAGATCCAGCATGGTTGAATAAAAAAAAAATCCCACCTGCACTTTCTCAATATTTTTACAGTGTGGTGTACTAATTTTGGGACAAATTTTATCAAAACAAGCATTCTGAGAGTATTGCATGGTAATACACATTCCACTACCGGTTAAAAATTCATTGTACTGGAACAAAATTCAAACTGGATCTGTAACTTGTCATGATAAAACTATATACCAATTATCAAATCATTATTTTCAAGCATGACGAAAAAAAGTGAGGAAAACTGATTATTTGAGTGAATTTTCTAAGTCCAAGGACCATAACTCTGCACAAAATCATCAGACCTGAACAAAATTAGATCTTGATCTGTAACTTGTCATGATAAAACTATATACCATTTATCAAATCAATATCTTCAAGCATAACGAAAACAAGAGGCTCTCAAGAGCCTGAATCGCTCACCTGTATTTTTTTGCTTAAATCTTTCATCAATGATTATTTTTGCTTTTCAATATATATTAATGAATGGCTTAAAACTTCCATTGAAATGTTCTTTGTATCTGTCATATTTTCTACAAAATCAAAGAAATGCATTTTACCCCTATGTTTCATTTTAGCCATAGTGGCTTTGTTTCTTGACGTACAAGAAAATAAAATACAAAATTTATACTAGATACTCTGAAACTCATTCAGCCCAAGTTTGGCTGAAATTGATTCAGCAGTTTCAAAGGAGAAGATTTTTTAAAGTAAGCAAACTAAATGAACAAATTTTGAAAAATTGATTTTAAAGGGCAATAACTCCTTAAGTGGGACAATTGACAATTTTGGTCATACGAACTTATTTGTAGATCTTACTTTGCTGAACATTTTTGTTGTTTATAGTTTATCTTTATCATTAATAATATTCAAGATAATAACCAAAATCTGCAAAATTCCCTTAAAATTACCAATTAAGTGGCAGCATTCCAACAATGGGTTGTTAGATTCATCTGAAAATTTCAGGGCTGACAGAGCTTGGCCTAATAAACATTTTTACCTCCTTTGATTAGCTCTAAATGCTTTGGTTTTTGAGATATAAGCCAAAAATTGCATTTTACCCCTACGTTCTATTTTTAGCCATGGCGGCCATGTTTTTGTACGAAACAGAAAAATAAAACAAAAACTTTATTCTAGACACCCTTACAATCATTCAGCTTAAGTTTGGTTGGAATTAGTTCAGTACTTTCAAAGAAGAAGATTTTTTAAAGTTAGAAAACATGATAAACACATTGTGTAAAATTGTCCTTAAAAGGGCAATAACTCCTTAAGGGGTCAATTGACAATTTTGATCATATGAACTTATTTGTAGATCTTACCTTGCTGAACATTTTTGCTGTTTATAGTTTATTTTTATCATTAATAATATTCAAGATAACCAAAAACTGCAAAATTTCCTTAAAATTACCAATGTAGTGGCAGCAACCCAACAATTGGTTATCAGATTCAACTGAAAATGTCAGGGCTGATAGAACTTGACCTAATGAACACTTTAACCCCATGTCAGATTTGCTCTAAATGCTTTGGTTTTTGAGATATAAGCCAAAAGCTGCATTTTACCCCTATGTTCTATTTTTAGCCATGGTGGCCATGTGATTTAATGAAACAGTAAATAAAACACAAACTTTATTCTAGATACCCTAAGCATCATTCAGCAAAAAGTTTGGTTGGAATTGGTTCAGTACTTTCAGAGGAGAAGATGTTTGAAATAGTTTACACCAGACGGACGACGACAGACGACGACGAACGCCAAGTGATGGCAATATCTTCAAGGACAAAGAAAAAAAGTGTGGAAAACTGATTTGCCGGACTGACAGACAGACAGACAGACAGACTTTCCCCTTCAACTTCGTTGGTAGGGGACTAATTATAGAAAACTTCATCAGCTCTAACTCAAAATATGGACAATTTTATGTTAAGGGGGTCTTGAATTCTTTCGATACGCTTCAAACATACTAAATTTTAGTTTTCAGCTAGACCAAATCACTGCTTTACTTTAAAATTCATGACCCAAATTTCTTTACAGTGTAATTTCATCCCCCTACGTGCTATTTGAGGCATAAAACATGAAGAAATAAATTAGGAAGGGTTATGAAAAAAATTGCAACTAATACACTGTCCACAGTAGGGACTATATTTGTAAACAATGAAAATCGAAGGTGATAACTGTGTTCCCAAACCAGAAATTAACAACTATAGGTCACCGAACTTGAGCCTTCTTAAAAATGTCTCACCATGCAGGACAAGATAATTTGTACCTTATCAAGAAGAACAGATTTTAACAACAAGCAAAAACTGGATATCCAAATGTATTTGCACCCGATGATCCATAATCTACTGTTTTGTGAAAATTTGTCTTTAATTTAATCATGTTACAAATTTACAATAATATTAAATTTAAAAAAAAAGGTAGATTTGAATTACAAATGGGAGGGACGGAAGAGGGATTAAAAATCAGATTTTGAATTCCGATGGAAGAGTCACGTGTATGCAATATATCAAAGCTCCATACATCTACATCTACTGTACATAATACTCCTTAACTTCAATATGTTGAAGATTACAAGAAGGCACAAACTAGGGAAAAAATTTAAAATTTGAACATATTTACAACATGTACAATAATCTAGTCCAAATAATTATGACGTCTTGAAAGGCTATTATATTTTTTTCTTTGACGCCGTCGATGTAAGGTGTCAAAGAAAAAAATATAATAGCCTTTCAAGACATCATAATTATTTGGACTAACAATAATCATGATAATCATGATAATAATTAATTCAAAAACTTTTTTTTTTTATTTTGTATATAGATAAAACATGATTTTGATCTAGCAATATATATGTTGTTTTGAACCAGACTTAAATGCTTCTAAGTCTACTTAGACTATAATGTTGGTATTTTTTCAAAATTTTAGCGGATTCTGAAAGGCTAAAAGGATATATATGCCATTTGGATGTCCTCTATTTTAAAAATGCTTACCTTCTTGGGGTGTATCAGCATGGTGCTGTAGGTATAAAAGGCGCCAGTTGGAGGTGAGGTAATTGGCATCAATTATCCCGAATAGACTAGAAAGGGCTTGATAAGGGATTCTGAGGCGACCAAATCAGAAAATTACTCAGAGTAATCTCGGACTACCTATATATATGGCTATGTGGGGGAAGTCAGTTAACCTTGAAGGTTTTGTTTGATTTTTAACATAGTATCAAATTAGTTTAATTATTTAAAAGTGTTAAATGTTACTAACGTTAGCACATGAAGCTTTTAAACAAGTTGACAGTTTTCCACTTTCGATTTCGAATATAATGGTGTAGCCTTTAGGTTATTTCCCTCTGTTAGTATGCTTCTTCTTCTGTGTATAAGCCTCCTGTAAGTAGAAGCACCTCCACATGGAGTATATACCCTTAGTAATTTAATTCGTGTACAGCACAAACATATAAAAGGAAAATCTTTTGTTTTTACATGGCATACAGACCGGGATATATGCTCTGTATCGAAGCAGGACATCTCGGCACATGTCAACTCGGCATAGTGTAAATTCGGCTAGTGTGGGGAGGGTTGAGCACTCACAAACATGTGTAACCACGCCACATCCTTTAGTCAGGAGCCTGTAGTTCAGTGGTTGTCGTTGGTTCATGTCTGTAATATTTGTTTTAGTTTATCTGTTTTGTTATAAATTAAGGCCGTTAGTTTTCGCAATTGAATTGTTTCTTTTTTTCATGTGGGGTCCTTTTATATCCGACCATATGGTATGGGTTTTCTCATTGTTGAAGGCCGTACAGTTGTCTATATTTGCTTACATCCACTTCATTTGAACATTTGAACTTTGGTCGATAGTTGTCTCATTGGCAATCATACCACATCTCCTTATTTATATATATTACAAAATCGGCCCACTCATGAATGTCTCTGTTGCAGTGTCTTGATGAATATCCTGCCTGAAAAATATACTCCCTCTATGAATATTTCAAGAATTTAAACTCTTTAAATCAAAATTACAGTTTTGACAAAACTGGAAAATGAATGTACGCCTTTCAATGAGATGGATTTTAAAAAATCAGAGAAAGAGATCACATCATCAAAATAAACCTCAGTGTAGAAAGGGTTTGGGCCCGCAAGTCCCAATGTCTTTAAGGTGTTGCGAAATTGAGTAAAAAATTGTTTATAAAATAAGGTTTTGTCCCATATACACAACCACTTCTAACCGACTGCGAACATTTATTGTATTTACTATCCAGATATAGTGCCCTTTATCTTTCTCTTTTTCAGTTATCCCTTGTCTACACTCCGAGTGTGCCAACAATACCTACCTAATTGTTTTACTAGTAAGATGTTATTAGTCCTAAATGTGGTTGAAATATTTGAAACTGGATGTTAGAAAACAACACCAAGTTTATACTCATAGCAGTCTACAGGGGTATGAAATTATGTAAGTGCCATTTATTCGCCAACCATCAGATAATTGGTGCATCCGAGTAAACAGTCCGTCAGTACTTTGATTATTCTTTGTGGGGTTCACCATAGACACTTAGATATTTGTTTTACAACAATCAACGACTTCAATGTAAGTGTTTGTTTACCTTTTTGTGAAAAAAAACATACATTATTTTAAAATCAATGGATTCAATATAGCCCAATGGACTTAAACTAGAAAGTTAACTTCAATTTATCTATTATATACATGTAGAAAGGTTAAATGTATCTGTGATATACTTATTTCGATGGTCCCTATCGGAGATTACAAAGTCAAATAACTTCAAACACATTCAATTATATGTATTGTGAATTCATTAGTATATGGTATCAGTACTTGATACGACAAGATCGTACAAAGGGCAAATATCAAAGGTTTTTGTCTGTACATAACCAAAAAATTAAAAAAATTATCATGTGCTGTTTTCCAACAGTTGTTTTAAGAGGAACGGTACCAATAAATATTTCTTTCATTGATGTCGTGTTAATAATTAGTAGTAAATATTTTCCTTACGTATCGTATATATACGCCAAAATACTAGTAATGGTCCATTTTCGAATTGCTTTCCAAGAGAAAAGAAGTTAATTTGAAAACGAATTAAACTAATTACCCCAAAAATTACTACTCTGTGCACAACATTTTCAAACGACACCCTGAAAAATTTTAGTTTCAGTTTTGTGATCAAAGTTGTTAGCATTTGTCTATCCTATTTTCTTTTTGAGGATAAGGACTTAGATTAATTAGAAAAGGGATAATTTTTAGTAACATCAAAATTTACGATGTATATTTCACTACAAAAGTCTAAAAGTCTGAAAAGACCAGTTTTTGTCTTAATTTGCATGAACTTTTACTCGACATTCTCCAAAAGTATGACTTGTGTCTTAATTTTTCTTGACAAATTCTCATTTATATTAAATTTGTATAAAATTTACTCGACATATTCTCGACATTCTGAATATGGTCTTAAAATTTCTTGACAAATTCTTGACATTTGAATACTGTCTTGAAATTTCTCGACATATTCTCGACATTCTTATTTTTTCTCAGTATGGCTTGACATATTCTGAACATTTTTAATCGTGTCTTAAATTTACTTGACAGTTCTGAGTTTTACAAATCATGACCAATATTCATGATATAACTTTAATCTTTATTTCTCTTTATATGATATACTGTTGTTTCAAGTTACACTTCTTTACAACAAAAATAAAAGTTGGGCATGTAAAATAATTGAAAATTTGGGTATATAAATATTTTTACAAATGAAATTTGGCTATGAAATCTAAAGTATAAAATAATTCAAATGTGGGTGTGTTGATATTAAACAATTTCAATGTGGGTTTTTAAATAATTACAAATTTTGATTCCTAAATCTTATAAATTAAATGATTCAAACCAATCAATTTTCATACTGTAGACATATTTCATTCTACATTCATAATATGCAATGTTGATATGGTAAATAATTATGATACCAAAATGTGGTTTATATAAATAGCAAATTATGATGATGTACAAATCATCCATTTTACAGAAGAAAAATTTGTGTAATGTCATCTGTTGGAATATATTAAGTATTACACATGGACAGGATGTTCCCCATAAAATTAAGGTATTCCACACCCCAGAGTACACCCAACTGTCAAATAGAAGTTATTGCTTTACCTGTAATCAGCCATACAACTTATCAATTGACCGACCATGCCACTACAATTTAAAAAGTTTGTTGATAGATGAAAATGAAAATCATCATTTTGATGAAAAAAAATTAAATTGAAATTGATTTTCTTCATCAAAATTATGAAGTTAATTATTTTGACATAAAAACAAATTGAATAATTCCCAAAGATTAAAAGAAAATTATTATCTACTCCTGGAATAATAAAAAAAAATGTATTTATAATGGGTCCCATCAATGATTTCTATAGAAATCATCGGTCTTATGAAATGGTTCTCAAGCAGACATGCATAATATAGATCTAAACATTTTTTTTTTTCAGGAAGGAGTTATCACAAATATTCATTTTTGATAAAAAATTATAAAATTCAACACTCAAATTTGAATAAAAAATGTTTTTTGGTTGTTCTAAAAAATGAATAATGTTTGAAAATCAAGATGGGAACAAATTCTTTGACCTAAACGAAAGCCCCCCCCCCCCCCCCCCCCTCTTTTTTTATCCACACACACCCAAAAGATGAATTGTGGGGTCCAAAAGAGATACAAGACACCTATTTTTGTAAAGCAAATTTGACTGGCAGTTTTGCGAACGGCAAAAATCTAAATGCTGTTTGTCAATACCTTCGACATATTCCAAGTGAAAACAATTACTTAAATGTTTAATGAAAATAAATCAAAACTAAACTACATGGGGGATTATTCAGGGTATTCCAACTTAGTTGCACCAAAAGGGTATCTTACTATACCAAATTAATCCTTGATTCTTCAAAGTTTAGTTTAGCCATAATAAAAATTCGTAAGGGTTCCGCGGAACCCAGTGTCTCGCCTACTTTTTATGTTAATCGCAGGCTCAACAAAAATGAGGAAGTAAATCAATAAAAATATTCCACTTGATACTATCTTTTGATTGTAAGAAGCTTCTGTCCAAGTTTGGTAAAAATCCAGGATAGTTTATGAATCTAATAAATGTTTAAAAACTTTAACTGCAGACTGTATGTAATGTTAACTGAAAGAAAACAAAATTTCCTTCTAGATACTAGCATTTGATCATAAACAAGCTTCTGTCCAAGTTTGGTACAAATCCAAAATAGTATAAGAAAGTTATTAAAATTTTAAAAACTTTAACCACAGAGTGAATGTGTTGTTTCCTGGCAGAAAATCTAAGTCCATTTAAAAATAAAATAAGGAAAAAATGGATTTTTTTTTTTTACAAAGTTTACTTCTGGATACTATCTTATGATCATAAACAAGCTTCTGTCCAAGTTTGGTACAAACCCAGGATAGTTTAAGAAAGTTATTAAAATTTTAAAAACTTTAACCGCAGAGTGAATGTAATATTTCCCGGCAGAAAAACTAAGTCCATTTATAAGTAAAATACGGAAAAAATGGAATTTTATTTTTACAAAATTTACTTCTGGATACTATCTTATGATCATAAACAAGCTTCTGTCCAAGTTTGGTACAAACCCAGGATAGTTTAAGAAAGTTATTAAAATTTCAAAAACTTTAACCACAGAGTGAATATTTGTGGACGCCGCCGACGACAACGACGACGACGACGACGACGACGACGCCGACGCCGACGGAATGTAGGATCGCTATGTCCCGCTTTTTCGACTAAAGTCGAAGGCTCGACAAAAAGGAGTATACAACAGCAATAGAATGTCATAAACAGTGCAGAATAAGTCTGTTCACATTTCAGTAGAATTTTATACTGTTGAGATAGTGTCAAGACATATTTAAGACTGTCAAGAATGTGTCGAGACATATTCAGACATTATTTATAATGTCAAGAATATGTCGAGACATATTCAGACATTATTAAGAATGTCAAGAATATGTCAAGACAGATCGAGACAAATTTAAGACAGTCAAGAATTGGTCGAGACTAATCCAGACTCTTATCAGATGATACAGGAAGTGTCGAGAAATTTTAAGACAAAGTTCATACTGTCAAGACACTTGTCAAGAAAAATCAAGAACATTATTAGACAAATTCATACTATGTTAAGAATTTTTAAAAATTATTCAGACAAATTAAGAATGTCGAGTAAAAATTCATGCAAATTCAGACAAAAACTGGTCTTTTCAGACTTTTTGACTTTTGTAGTGTTTGAAATAACGTTAACAAAACATGTTCATATGCATTAACAAATGAAGTTATGTTAATATGTAGATAGTCTTTGCCACGTGATATATAAG